GCAAATACTAGAGCATTCGCCAAGATACGGGATAGTTCTAGAAACAAGAGGGCGTGAGAATTGTCACTTGATCTCGATGACGCAACAATACGTTAATACAGATATAGAGACATCATTCAGTTACTGGACCGAAACGTTTTCTAGAAATAGTGATAATATACCTTTGTGCTTTTCACAATGAATTATAGCCATGAATTTAAAACTTCTCAAACGTAGCTAAAAATTTTAGGTCAAATTTCTACAATTAAAATTTACTTTTCAATGAACATTTGAAACAGGTGAATATACATATCATTCGTTTACTACTACTTCATATATCAGTTTATAGAAAATAAATAATATATTCTTTCTCCCGTTTCAGAAACAATTTAATTGTAAAAAATATAATATGCTAATTGGATTTACAAGTTGAATATTTTTATTTGTTATGAATTTCGTGCAAAGCTACATGAGGGCTATCTGTGCTAGCCATCCCTAATTTAGCAGTGTAAGACTAGAGGGAAGGCAGCTAGTCATCACCACCCACCGCCAACTCTTTTACCAACAAATAGTGGGACTTACCGTCACTTTATAATGCCTCCACGGCTGAAAGGGCGAGCATGTTTGGTGGGACGGGGATTCGAACCCACGACCCTCAGATTGCGAATCGAGCGCCCTAACTACTTGTCCATGCCGGGCCCCTGATGATAGACATCAAACAGTCAGTTTCATCGAGTCACGAATGTAATAGGCCTATTTGACTTGCTTATTGTTGAAACGCGTACTTTCCGCCGCTAAGCTCTCTCGAAAGTTCCGTCTGTACTGTGGTAGACTTATAGAAGTTAGTGAATGTGTGTCTATCACCAAAAAAGTTAGTTCAAATTATTTCAAAACCAATGCCAATGTTAATATATTTGGATATAGTTCAGAATAGTTCAATAAGTTTAAAGTAAATTATATAAAAGTTAAAATATTTTAAATATGTAATAATCATTCTGAAATTAGGGGAAGGGCTGGGCTGTCTGGTTTGGAAATCTGGTCACCTTAGATATAGATAATGTGGTACAATTCACATATTATTATACACTAGCAAAAGTACCTGGCACCGCACGGGTTATTAGGTTGATATGTTTTAACAACTGCATAAAATTTATAAGGAAAGTAAGAATATCGATCCAATTTTAAACTCAAATCGTTTCAGAATTAAGGTACTTTCTGTTATATCACCAACTTTTTTAATAAAAAAAAAACTCTTTAATCAACGGAAACTCTAAATTAAGAAATCAACAAATATCATTCCAGTTTTGTTGTTTATATATTTCATTTTATATTTTCAGTACACAGACTAACAACAATATTAGGTTTAGTTCGAAACAAGAATTGTATTTCCGAATGTTGTTTTGGAAATGATTTGCATTTGGAGTGTTTCCTGTCAGCAACGTAGTAAGAGTCTCAGGAGGATCAAACAGAGGAGGCATACGAATTTTGCCACTGTTGCAGCAGGTCCCTGGAGTTTCTCCTTTCCATTTCAGTGCATTGCAGTAACTGCTAGAAACTGACATGGAACCAACTGATACTGAAGGATCAGAATTATACTCCAAGACTGGGTTGTAAGCAAAACCAGACTTCTCTTTATCCCTCCAAGGATGGTTTCTGGCAGCAGCCTTTGCTGTTCTGTCTACAGCTTGTCTAACTTCTCGCTGTTCTAGCAGTAGCCATTCCCCCTCTCTTTGTTATTTGGGCAATTGTTCGCTGTTCTGCAGTTTCAATCATTCTTGCAGCAACTATCGCTTGTCTTCTTTCTTGTTGTTCTTGATTTTTAATTGCTCTTGTATCAGCCATGGCTTGTCTATTCAGTTTGTCTTCTATCCCATTGTTCATGCGTTTCCTGAACACGGGCTGTAGCCATTGCAAGAAGTCTTCTTTTACATTGGATTCTTTCAGACTTTTTTATTTTCGTAGGAGCCATATGCAAAGTAATTGAAGTTACATTCCCTTGACTTCTATAATTATAATAATAATATTATTATAGAGCGTGCCTGTATGTGATTTATTTGGAGCTGTGAATAGTATGATTACTGTCTGCCCATTATGATGATAATAATAATAAACTTATTAAATATAATTATATATGCCACTATACGTTGTCTAACATATATAAAAACCAATAATGCTTGAATGGGTAATGAAGAAAAACTTTAATATATGGTTAACATACCTGATGATGACAAAACCTTATCAAAACGTTGTACATTTGCTGTTAACGAATATGTAAAAACCAGTTTGTGTGATGTCACGTCACACTAGATTTCTCTTGTGAAATGGTGAGATAACCTAGCTTAGAGCCAACTGCATAAAATTTAGCATGCAAGTGAAAATATCTATCCAATTTTAAACTTAAATAATAAAAAACAAACTTCTTTAATAAACAGACTCTAAGTTAGAAAACAAGAAATAGTGTTTTTCAATTTTGTAGTCCATACATTTCATTTTATACTTTCAGCACATAGACTAACAACAATATTAGGTTATACTTTTATTGCTAAGCAACATAAAATCCATTGTTGTAACGCATTGTTACCAAAAGGCAATAGCTTTTTCTATATATTAAAAGTTGTTATATGAGGAACCATTTTTTTCTATGTGGTTTTTCGCTAGTTTGCCTCATTAAAAAGATCCACAGGCATGTGTCCGTCTGTCTGTGATTTCTATTTGTAATATAAGGAAATACACCATTAACTAATGTTTGATACAATTATTGTGGCAGTATAGATTCTGAATGACCAACTTATTCACTGATTTGGTAACCAAAACTAAAATGCCATTGATAAATCAAAAATTCATACTGAATATTATTATTCTTTACTTCCACCAATACGTTTTCTTTAATAATAAAAGGGCATGTCTGTGTGTCTGGGTACCTGTGTTGTGTGACCACCAAAACTTCAAGAGGAAAGACCCTAGAAACCTGAAATTTGCACCCATACTAAGTAGACCCTGAGGGTGTGCACCTGGGTATTATTACTTATCCACGTGTGCGCGCGTCCACCTGTTTGAGGAAAAGTAGGAAACAACTACATAAAAAGAATATGTAACCGCCATATCTCCAAGAGGAAAGAGCCTAGAAACCTGAAATTTTTAATGAGGCAAGCTAGTGAAAAACTGGAAGGTTGAAATGCACTATGGCAGATCTACTCCAGTTTCTGATTCCATGGGAGGATCTACACCAGCTATCCCTTTCTTCCATACTCATGATAGTCCATGAGTCAGTACAGTCTGGTATGGGCATAATTATACTAGCAATCTTGTGGAACACCCCATCTCAACAGTGTGTGTCATAGGCCTGGAAAGAGGTGTATAGAGAGAGAGAAATTGGTGGGTCCAGCACCTGGGGTTTATCTGGTGGGACATCCTAGCCAGCCACTTGCCTGGTCCAGCTCCTTCCTACACCAGCCTCCAGGTCTCGACCTGTTGGTGGTGGCGTGCCAGGGATACCATAGCCAGTGTGTATGTGTGTGTGTGTGTGTGTGTGTGTATATATATATATATATATATTTACTTATTCTCTTTCTTTCATAGACCATACAGTGCAGATTTTGTGGCTGATAGTGAATATGTATATCTGGACAGGCACCACTCGCCATTGAGCATAATCCATTACCTACATGACCCTGTAGGGGAGAGAGAAAAGTAAACTTATCAATTCACAGTTGAACCATCGCATGAAGAATGGCAACAGGTAGAGAGCAATATCCAGATGAGGAAGAAATGGTCACATGATGTAGGTAGTGGGAGATGAACGTGTTAGACATAGTCCATATAACGGTTAAATGCAAGCCCTGGAGTAGTCAAGCAAAGGCCCTGACTACTCAAGAAAACACACAAGGTGCCATGGCAATGTGTGAAACAGGTAAATGTGACCCCTGTATATGAACTCAACGAACCATCTGGAGAGTGGGGCAATAGGGATGTGTAGGTATGCATTCTAGATGTCTACCTTGGTTATCAACAGATCTGGAATGAAAGCTTAACACAGAGTGAAAAAATACTTCATGGTGAAATAGGGAAAGTCTATGAAATGGTTGAGCTAAGACTAATCTATCACTGAAAACCAGTCCCCAGACTTATCAAGAACTACAAAGAGCCTGGAGTATAAACCCATAGAGGATTGACTTCCTGGTTTGATAGTGTCCTTGATGAGAAGAATCTGGACTACTTCAAAGAGATGCTGGCATGTCGTGGGATCCCGATTGGGGAGGGGGGGGGCAGGATCTGTTGACACAGCACCTGAATAACCCAAGGTTCAGAAGTGAGCTTCTCCCATACAAGACCAAATTCAGCCAGCCAGGCACCCACCCTGCCAGGCCTCACTGGATAGTCACTGATACCATCGGCAATGCATGTTTCTGTGGTGAGAAATACAATGACTCACTGTTGAATCCTTGGAGAGAGAGAGAGAGGAACAGGTAAAGATGGAGAAAGTGCGGGACGGGAAAAGGAAGTGGGAGCAGGGACAGGTGAAGGCTGAGACTACTAGGAAACCAATGAAGAAATGTTGTCTTGCAAACTCCACTCATGACTTCAGGGACATCTCTAAAAATATATTCGCTTAAGAATGGTGCCATTCTGAGGTCACGCAGATAGATTAAGGTTAGGCGCACTTGAGATAAAAAAGCATCCCTTCCCTACCCAGGAGATCCCAGCAGCAAAAGAGCCATGTTTCGAGGGAGAGGGATGAGGATACACATGTCAACACAGAAAGTATGAGGGTCTGAGTCTCCTCTGAAAACCCCTCAGGGGATCAATGGAAAACCTCAGCTAGAAGGTACACGGTAGACAAGTATTTAAGGATAGAGGTCAGTGTAAGCTAAAATCTGAAAAAGATTGAGCTTGGAAGAACCTAACCTGAAAATCAGGATTGGCCCCCCACACTTGCATCAAAGACTACAGGTGTTGTGAGCTTAGAAGAGAAAAACCTACTTGGTGATTAGCCAAAGCAAAAAAATCTGAAGATCTAGGGGGACGAGGCATGCTGGATCCTGGACATGCACCTAGAACTGGTCAGCATGTATCCTGATATCTGGAGAGGGAGGAAAACAAGGTATTCTCATGAAGAAGCCATGTATAAAAGTGAAGGAGCAGGATCTTACCAGACAGGGAACACAGACAAAAAGGTAGCATACCTGTGCAATTATGTCCAAAAAGACTGTGGGAGGCCCGGCAGCTTTCTTTTGTGACATAGAGGAATGCACAGCATGGAATGATGGAGAAAAAAGGCTCAGCAAATCTTCATAATCATAACCAAACTCCTCCAAAAAGGAAAATCTTGACCAAGTTTAGAAGAAGTTGGCCATATCATGTAGTGTTGAAGCTCCAGTTGGACTAAGGCCGAGACCTCCTCAACTGAAAGTGTAAAACTGAAGCCTGAAAAAAGACAGAAGTAGTAGTAGTAATCATGACAGTGGCATCCATGACATAAAATTCAGAATTCAGGTTCAACTGTAGTAATTCCATGAATATTATAGAATAAAGAAAAAAACAGTTAACTTTCACTTGAAACCATAAGTGAAATGCTTAATGACTTTAAAAACAAACTACTACTTCAAGAAACAAAGCAAAACAAATTTAGTGCCAAGTTGAAAACATAAACAAAATTGTATAACATCCAAACACGAGTGCCTAAACGAGAAATGAGTTAGGAGGACTCATATAGAGGGAGTAACCTGCATCAGGAGTGCGTGTTGTGCCCCCATTGGTGGAGGGTTATCTCATGATTACTTACATGCAAAGATGCAGTAGAACCACATTGAACATAGGGAAGATGCAAGTTTCAAGGCTAGTAGCGAGCAAAACATTTGTGCATATGAAGAGCAGCACTGAACAAAAGAAGCTATTATGTGAGACATGGTAAGATACCGTATCGAAACCACACTAATAATGTTTTGATGAGAAAATTATTGCAATATTAAAAACAAAGATAATTTTAGTTTTCAGCACTTTTGCTGAAAACCTACTAACATTCATTCATTTCTCTTCTCTCTCTCTTATCACTGATTTCAGTTACATTTAAAATACTGTTTTGTATATGGTGTAAAAATATGGATTTTATAAACAAATTACATTTTTGAAAATTCATAGGAATGAAACCTTTAAAGTAAATTTGATCAAAAATATCAATATTTCTTTCAACATTTACAACCTTGCTTGTTCTTTATTTTGTGCCATGTAAAAGATATATACACACACATACATACATCACCATTTTTTTTAAATACATATATAATACATGCACATTCTTAGTTTGCACAGTCAACATCATGAAAATTCAAACATCATTTTTATCAAGGTACAGAATAGACTAATTTTTTTGTCAGAGATTTCTTCTGTCTAAACTGTGCTAAGATACAAAATCAGGTACACTCCACAGCTGAAGTGATCTGTCATAAAATGAACAGGACCCAACAATCATGATGCTTTTTTGTTCCAATTCTATCAGTCTGGAATTGGCCTCACTAACAGCATCAATTCTCTCTTTGTAACACCAATCAACTCCATAGGCCAGTGATTTGTGTTTAGTGTAGTGGCAAACAGGTTTTAGACAACCATCACCTAGACAGAAGTAGAAGAATCTTTTAACATGACTTTACATAATAAACCTCTACATCACAGAATTAATTATCTGATATTGGCTGGTTACAACACCTCAAAAAATACACTTTTCTTCTCATATACACCTCTAATTATTCTTATAGATTCAGCAGTTTCTAATTGTTAAATTTATTGTGTAATACACAAAAAACAGCTGGAAGATTACAACTTTCTAAGTGGTCAGTAAAAAGATAAA